TTTTTTTTTTTTTTTTTTTTTTTATCAGTTTCCTTACCTACTACCACAAGTCATCTTTTGCCGTCTCAGAAGATCTTGGGATGGGAGAAATTGAATCTGAGCCGTACGATTTGTGAGAGTTGTTGGTACATTGATCAGTGATGGGATGGAAGCCGTTGGTTTTACTTTCAGATTTAACTGCAATTGAATTTCAAAACGAAAACGTCCCACGCGCGCATCATCTCCACTCGCTTTGCAGTATCGTACTACCGTGCCCCAAACTTAAATGCGGTGAATCTCAGCGACATAATTTATTGATTAAGAGGTTGAGACATTAAATTTAAAATTTAAAATTTGAATTTTGAATTAAACATGAAAGGATTTAAAAATTAAAAAAAAATTTTTTTTGCTTATATAAAAAAATAAAAATTGATATTTATTTTTATACTATTAACATGTAAAATTATTTTAATTTATTAAATATTTAATTAAACTTATGACTTGACACTAATACCAAAATTCATATTAATTTTTATATTTTCTTATATGATAAAAAATATTCTTAATATATATCTTAAAAAAAATTAAAAAACTCTTTTATTAATTATAAATTATTTTTAATAATGAAATTAATATAAAAATAAAAAAATAATATTAAATTTTATATTAATATTATATGAATAAATTTAATTAAATATTTAATAAATGAAAATTTAATTTTTATTTTTAATATAAATTTATTATAAAAAATAAGAATGGAAGAAATCTTAGATTTTTTTTAAAAAAATATGTTTATTATTATTATATCTTTGTCCTCTTCTCTCTTAAAAGTACAAATTAATTAAAAAAAAAAAAAAAAAAAAACCTCCTACTAGTACTATATAAAAAAGAGTTTATTTAGGTCATTTGAATGGGGCTCATTTCCCCTAGAACTAAACAGTTGGTACGAAAAAGAAATGGGTTTTGGTCCTTTCGGAAAAGTCTATGCAAATGGATCTCGCCGACAATTGGCTTGATAAGATACGATATTTCCATGGCACCGCCTCATATCTCCATAAAGCGCTGCGCATGCGGCCAAAACTCTTTCAAGTTTCAAGTCAAATCCCACGCGCCCCCTCACTTTTTCGACCTGCGTAGTGGCGTTGGTTATTCTCACAAAAATTTTTGTAAAACCCCTTTTTTTTATTATAAATGAGATAAAAGGTGAAAAATAAAAAATGATTGTTTTTTATTTTATTATGTAATTAAAATAAAAAAATATAATTTTATTTATTTATATTTTTTATAAATAATTAATTATTATATTTAAAAATATTTATTTATAAATTAATGTTAATTTATTAAA